TTGTCGCTAGGCACCGCACGCGGCTAGAGTGCAGATGTATTTAAAGGACCCATGGCCTAGCGAAAAATCTCGCGCAGCAAGATTGCAGATATATTTAAATGAATTTTACCATACAACTGCTACAGGTAATATGGCATACCGTTTGCACATGTCTATGTATATTTTATAAAACTGACATTTAGCAATGTTATGCAATAATTTTCCGTCGCATAAATCAACCCCAATTTGATACGATGAAAAATATGTATTACTAAATGTCAACATACAGAATGGCGTACGATTTCAACAGGTTCGACCTTTGAGATAGTATTATAGTGTGACGTGGAGCGAATCCTGTCTAGCAAGCGACCTTGAAGCCTGCCCCACCCGACTCATTGTCGAAACATCGCTGACGTATGAAAATAAACGCATTGCTTCTCGAATCTACCAGAAAAAGCAATACGTGGTCATTGAGTCATAGACATAAAGTCACGGACACGCGAGAGCGTCTAGAAACTACGAGTACAGAGTGAGCTTTGTATAAATAGCGCGAGTTCATCGACGGATGGGCAGTTTTAAATAAGTGTTGGACTAAAAAGATAAATTATAATAAATTAGAATTGAGTTATAATAGTGCATAAGTATTATATAAATTAATTAGTACGTCATAAATAAATTGTAAATAGTGTGTTTTAAATAAACTGTAAATAAATTATACAAATGTCACAATAGGGAGACGCGATCACGTGGTCAAAAACGGCATCAGTCCGCCATATTGATGTGACACTTACGTTAAATAGCTGTCGCATTTTTGTGATTACATTAATGTGATTTGTATGATCAAGTTTTCTTGTTTTTATTTGCTTTTTGTGTATTATTTAAATAATATAGTAAAATAAAATAATTGTTTCATGTTCTCCTCATTACTGCAGTAGCATCAATGCAATACAATAAATCGACAGGAATAACATTTCATGGGTTAGTATACAAAATAATAACAATATATATTTATATTTTGCTTATTTAAGTAGTCTCCGGTAATTATTTTATATACTTACAATATTTTATTATTAAGATATTTCATTTTATGCTGTGCAAGTGTTTAATTTTGTCCATATAACAGAACGTAGCAGGAAACTGTTAAATATTTTAACTAATAAATAAAGTCCAAATAACGAAAACATTTTTTAATTTCAAATTTCCTAAGGAAGAAAATTTTGACAGTAAGTTGAATGAATTATTTATCAGACCCTTTATCAGTATTTTCCAAATTTATAATTGCCTACATAGAGGGATATATTGTTCAATTTTTAAAGAAAAAAATATTTTTTGTTTATATATCTGCTTCGACAAGTGACACGAGGTATTTGTATCTATTCTCTTTTATAGATCTGTATCTGCAACGTGTGGAGGATTAGTTAACCCACAGTACCTACGGCTTACTAGACCATTTGTACATCCTCTTAGGTAGGTAGGCATCTTCTAGCTCGTGAGTCAGCCCACAGATTTAAAGCAGTTGACAACGTCACCAAGAAGTGCCTTTTTTATGTCGTCCGGTGTTAGCCAATTCTCGTCGAACACAAATCTTCTAATAAATAAGAGCGTCAGGAAATCATAGAGGATATTTTCGATGGTCTCATCTTCTTGTTCCCACCCCCTGCAGACTGCGTATTCTGACAGCTCTATGATATGGAATGGCTTCCGCACTGGGCAATGACAAGTCAGAATACCTGTGATCAGGCGAAGATTCTGTCAAATTATAGTCAAGTTTTTGTTTGATGTAGTGTTGTCAGGATAACTTAAAAGCTCCCTGGCAAGTCTGCGACTTCTTGTTTCATTCCATCATTCCTTAAATTTCACAAGAAATGTTATTTAATTAGGTTTATCACTAGCGATTTGTCAGTCCGATAGAAGGGGTCCGAAAAGTATTTGGTTGGCTACTTTCTTGGCTAGTGAAACAGGAAGACGATTACCTTTTGATGTGATGTGACCCATCTTAAGTTGACCACAAATTTGATGGATACTTTGGCCAAAAGCTTTGTACCATTCTTATACTAACCGTAAATTCGTGGTCTGTCTGGGGTGAGTCGTACTCGTCTACTATCTGTACAGATGAGCATGTTCCTTCCAGTGATATTGATTCTAGTGATTTAATTTGCTGCTATGAGAATCTATGTGAGCTCGGGTTGAACTGCACTCGCACTATTTTGCTAACAATCTATTTTATATTTAGGTTTAAAGATCTGGAATATATATCACATCCCGAGTCTTGTTTTGTTTTAGAACTGTCGGTTTAAAACCTGCCACTTCCGACTCTTATAGTTGTTGTTCTGTTATAACTTTGTACGGCTTATGAAAGATATACGGAGTGACCCAAAAGTCTGGAAACGGCCAATAACCTCGTAAAATGCTAATCCTAATTGTACAAAATTTGGGGTACACCTATTTTGGGAAACGGAGATTCCAGATTTGATATTTGCAATGTTGCCAGATTTGCCGTTTCTCTTATATTATTAGTCACTTTGGTTTTTCAAATTTATCAGCCTGTATATTCAGTCATTATTGGAATCTCCTATTCAATGCGAGTTCAACCATATGTAACACTTATGATTTCATGAAGTATGGAAGGTCTAAAACAATCATGGAGAAATGTTATAGACGCATTCTACCATCGATTAGGGTACTGTCAAATCACAAATGGAGCACATTTTAAACACTTGATAAAGTAACCATTATGTTAAAAATATTATAATCTTTTAATTGTTACGTTTTAATGTAGTTGAAAATAGTTTGTATTAAAAAATTTATTGAGACAATTATGCGTTGCCAGACTTATTTTATTTATTTAAGACCTTCCAGACTACATAAAATCATAAGTGTTACATATAATTGAACTCGTATTGAATAGGAGATTCCAATAATAACTGAATATACAGGGTGATGAAGTTGAAAATTTAAAGTGACTAATAATTTAAGAAAAACGGCAAATCTGGCAACATTAAAAATTTTAATTCTGGATTCATCGCATCCCAAAATAGAGGTACCCCAAATTTTGTACAATTAGAACCAGCAATTTACGATATAATTGGCTGTTTCCAGACTTTTGGGCCACTCTGTATATCATTGAAATAGAGTCCATGTTTGCTTTAGGCAGTAGGAGCGTATCAAGCGCTTCCTTCCAAAAGCTACATCATACCTCACCAGATATACATTCTACATTATTTACAGTTTTTTTTTTTAGGACATTTTTTACTAAGGCCATTTTCAGTTGATGAGAGTAATATTACATGATGGCGAACAAAGTGTCGCCTTTTAAAGACCACACAAACGCTGTGTTTTGTTGAGCGGTTTTTTATGATCTGTCAAGGCAGTGCCGCTTACAGACCTCTCCGGGAATATTAAAAAAATGGATAATCAAAGCTTTGTATATATCTGATGTAATACTGAGCGCAGCGACTAATGGAATTTGCTGAATGTAATTCAACAGTGATAATGACAATGATCATGATGGTGGAGGAGAATAAATGGACAAAGAAACAGATCAAGCTATAGATAATGATGAGCAGGAAGATGAAAGTGAAAGTAAAGAAGAGTCAAATACCTAAGTGGAATTCACTGACGAATAAAAACTGTAGTATATGATGAAATAAAATATGGAACAAAATGTAAAAATTAATTAACTTAAAGAAATTAATAATAAATAAACTTTATAAATTAAAAATCTAAAAGTATTTTGGACACAAGGCGCCACTGGTTCAAAATAATTGTTTCAGGGTGCTTCACGAACAAATAACAATATTTTTACAAACTCAATAACTACAGTTGCGCCATAGATAAATTATTTCATTGAGTTAATATATTTATATAGAGGGTGAGCCATTCAGCCAACCACCAAAAATTAATTATGTTTTGAAATAATTAATAAGAGGACCTTGCCTTTCTTTAGTGACTTTTTAGTAAGTTAATAACATTACATTAGGTGTGTTACCATAAGATTTTAAAATATACAGGATAATCTAACTGTTTCTATTAAAACATCCTGTAAAAGAAATGTGGACTGTATAATATTTTATTGCCAAAATATCATATGTAGTATTTTTAAAAAATATACTTCCTGGACGTCACAGGTAAATTAGTGAGATTTTGGAAAAACTATATACGGTCATACATTTATGAATCACTCTGTGACTAAAAATATTTTTATTTGTACATATGTACTGATGTATTACTAAAACATGTAATAAACGTGTGTATACAACAGGAATTCAATCTAGCTCGTAAGTTTAAAAGTAAAAATTTCGAAAACTAGGCAATTTTCAATTTTAACACCCTCTATATCAAAAACTAGTCATTGGATCGAGTTGAAATTATTTGACACTTTTGGTTACTAGGTTGAGTACAATACATACCACAGTTTCAAAAGATTTGACCCGTCGGCACTTTACATAAAGAAATAAGTGCGGGAACCTTTGTATAATGGATGTTTAAGTTTTAAACATACATATTATGAAAGGAAAATATTCAAGATATCTTTAAAAATCTATAGACGAAAATAATTAAGAAATCAAAATCAGAAAGGATTACAAGAAAATTACTTTTGAAACTTTAGCTGAACAAGAATATGTTAAGTATTATTTTTATTCTTTTGTTGTTTTATTTTTGTACTCAATAAAATTATTATCAGATTACCTCAACCCCATAAACTCTTAAATTAACCAGCCTCCGATGACGTCACACTTGTAAGTTAGTTTTGTACGGTAAAATTATGAAAAAAAAAACATAATCTCTACAGCATTGTACAACAATTTGGTTTTGGTCGTCTGGCAACACTTGTGATGAAGAAGTCTAGTAGGAGAGTGAAGGAACACTCTCATGAGTTTAAGAATAGGGTACCAGGTGATATTTTGCTATTGTGTTGCCTCTTACTATTTAGCTTTTGGTGTATACTACTGATGATGTTTTTTTCCGAAACTGTATGTTGAATATTATTAAATATATATTAGCATATTTGATTAACTTACCCAATTTTAAAGTCAGATTCACTTGATTCGGAAACTGCACACCCTCATACATGGTCCGAGATTGCCACCATGTCGGATAATCTTGGCTGTGGAAATCGGTCATAAACTGAGGGTGATGTTGATTGGTGTAGCATATTTCACAGGATTTTCTCACACCACTAACACTCGCACCGGTTTGTTGACAGTACTCGGATGGACCATCTTCACCGCAAGTGTTTGTTGATTCCATAAGTACGTTGAAAGCGGCATTTTCAAATTCTGGAATGCATCTCTGAAATAAACATTTAACTCAATTTAGACTTTCGTTTTCTATCAAAACATAAAACATTTTCATGAGAATGAGCAATATTTTACACAGAAAAAAAGGTGCACTATATTTAAGATGAATGGTCTTATTTTAAAGTTTTGTTGTGTTTGTATATCCGCAAGTAAAACTTGTCTCGATTTAAAATTGTTCAACAATAGCTAATAAGCCTTGCTTCAAGATTAGAATCAACTTGCCCTAACTAAAATACCTCTAATTAAACGAAGAGTATCATTGCTCAATTGCAGTATTATGTACATCTTAAATGAAATAGTCTTATACTTTTTTTAAATATACTTTATTTATATTCAATAATACTTTATTCTTAAATCCAATACAACTAAATTTGTTACAATAATAATAATATGAGCTTTGACATAAATATATTGATTTTGGTTGAATTATAGGATAGTTTCATTGAAGAAATTATTAATTTTAAAATAATATCAGGCTCTTCTTGCTTTTTAATAGGGTTCTCACTGGTACCTATCCACCGAAAAACATTTTTCAAAATTGTTTTTAGTTAATGTACCAAATTACTCTGTCCTCTGAGGTGTCCCACCTATAATTAAAAAAAAATAATTTTATAACTACAAAACCTAAATGGAACATAACAGTTTGTCCTGCTAAGATAAGAGGTCGTATCTACAAAATGAATATTTTTAGTAAATGTGGGTAGGTAGATAATTACGTCCTTTTAGACTTTGCAAATAAGTTTTACATATTTTACTAACCTTTTCTTATAATCATAGTAAATATTTTCTAAGCAAATAGGCGTTTATTATTTTACTATATTACTATATTACTATTAAATTTATAAGAATCTTGAAATCGGAATTTTCGTAGATTCGACCTCTTGTCTTAGCAAGGCAGAAGTCGTCTTTCCAAAAAGTCGTCATCTAGCATTATACATTTTTTTTACTTCTATTCCAGTTTGTTTTGTGTTCTTATGATTATAAATTTACTTATATATAATAATACCTAACAAGAAGTGAACTAAATATACTTACATTTAAATATTGGTATCAGGTCGCTGAGGCCCCATTCATCTAACAAATCTTCCATGTCAATTGAATTTATTTATACACTTATTAATTGAATCACAAAGAATTTCTAACAAAAAGTAAAACGAAATCCTAACGATACGATGCAAACATGTTAGAAAATGAATACGTGCTAATGCCAATTTGCCAGATTCTCTATAAACGCGTTGTGTCTCTGACTTCCGAATAATAAGTATCACATCTCAACATGTGCCAGTCATATATCTACCGTATTAGTGCAGTGGGTGCATTTTAAAATAAGTTTCAGCTGGCAACACCGTGCAGTGAATTTGTAATCGCTAATCTTTTGTGAAGTACATAGGTTTTTGATTCGAATTATTTAATTCTTGTTCTGAAATTTAAATGCTTTGAATCGAATCCTTTTATAACATTGAATCAAGAACGCAACAGTCGGTTTTAAGAGCATATCATATTTACAATAAACGTAAGAGCTTTCTTGGATTCATTCACAATTCTATACTCGAATGAAATAATTTATTCTCAGATTAATTATTATAAATCTTAAAATACAAGATTATGCCTATACCTCACTCAACATTTACTTTCTTACTGTATCGAGAAATATTATTTAAAGCAAACTCTGCTATATTTCAAACAAATATATTCTTCCAAGTATAAAGCTTTTCTTGAATGTAGGTAGATGATATTTTTTTCTGTGTACCTTCTAAATATATTAGACAATATAAGTTTTTTGCCCAATACCTAATGAGCACACACTCGTTTTTACAACGTAAATTTAACGTTGTATAGTATTAAAAAACATAATTGTTTGAAAATGCAACGTTAATATTTTAGTTTTGATAAGTTATAGGTACATAATATATTATTTTCAAACGTATTTTTCTAGTAATTTTCAACAGATTATTGACAATTTGATAAAATGATACGTTTTTTTATAACGTTTGGTTGCAAATAACCTTATTTTCCGCGACATTTGAACTATTTTTATACGTTTGGTTATTAACCAGTTTTCGACGTTATTTTTACGAATGTGTGCTCATTGGGTAACTGGAGATCAACTATAAATACTAAAATACAGGGTGTTAAAGTAACAAAAATAATTCAGCAATGTTATTATTAAATAATAACTTTATTAGAATTAGTATTTTTAACTTGATAAAAGCAAATAACCAATCAATTTTGGTAGGTATATCGCATATATGCCGTAAGCTATCTTGATTTAAGAGAATAGTAATTAATATTTGATTTCTAGTTATTAAGCAAATAATTTATATTTTATGCTGCAAAATAGGCACGTAAAATATTAAACTTTCTTTCTAAGTCACCATGTATGCCTAAGAGGCCTGTTAACTGAGTTGTTAACCCTATATGGTATGTAGTTTACTTCCAGCACTCAACTAAAGATTCTATATGTGTAGAAAAAATATTTTTCCACATCCACATAAATATTAGCTTATCTATGCACAGATTACAAAACGAAAAAGTATGCTATTGCCTTCAATCACAGTTCATATTTTGATCAACCGACTGGTATTATTTTTAAAATTTTAAATAAGTGACAATTTTGTCGAACTAATTGTCAAACTAATTGTCAAACTAATTGTCAAACTAATTGTCAAACTAATTGTCAAACTAATTGTCAAACTAATTGTCAAACTAATTGTCAAACTAATTGTCAAACTAATTGTCAAACTAATTGTCAAACTAATTGTCAAACTAATTGTCAAACTAATTGTCAAACTAATTGTCAAACTAATTGTCAAACTAATTGTCAAACTAATTGTCAAACTAATTGTCAAACTAATTGTCAAACTAATTGTCAAACTAATTGTCAAACTAATTGTCAAACTAATTGTCAAACTAATTGTCAAACTAATTGTCAAACTAATTGTCAAACTAATTGTCAAACTAATTGTCAAACTAATTGTCAAACTAATTGTCAAACTAATTGTCAAACTAATTGTCAAACTAATTGTCAAACTAATTGTCAAACTAATTGTCAAACTAATTGTCAAACTAATTGTCAAACTAATTGTCAAACTAATTGTCAAACTAATTGTCAAACTATTTGTCAAACTAATTGTCAAACTAATTGTCAAACTAATTGTCAAACTAATTGTCAAACTAATTGTCAAACTAATTGTCAAACTAATTGTCAAACTAATTGTCAAACTAATTGTCAAACTAATTGTCAAACTAATTGTCAAACTAATTGTCAAACTAATTGTCAAACTAATTGTCAAACTAATTGTCAAACTAATTGTCAAACTAATTGTCAAACTAATTGTCAAACTAATTGTCATTCTAGTACTGATATGAAATCCCCTAATCATAGTTCATAATTGGTGATTGGAGTACTATATTTTTTTAAATTTTGTATGTACCATATTTTTAGGCATAAGGATAAAATATAATTAAAAATGCGTGATTCTTGTAAATAATGGATTAGTTATGGCAATCTACTAGATATTCGTTCAGTTTTAAAAAGAAATTCTAAATTTTAATAAAATCTATCTGAAACTAGCTCAAGTTTTAATATTAAGCCATAAAATATTTATAAGTTGTTTGCGTAACAGTTCCCGTTTATGATTCAAAGTTTATAAATAGTAAAATTCATAGATTCAAATATTTAAAATAGTTAGTTTTTCTTAATAACTACTATTTTTAGAATTTTGTACATTTTCTTTAATGAATCGTAGAAAAGATACTGTAAAAGTGGATTATCCGTATCGCAGTCGGGCCTCCGTACTATATGGCTATCTTATCCACTCTTGTTGTAGAAACTACTATTATCACCGACATAGTAATTTATTTTATTGTACCATAACCTACCAAGTGAATTCCGCACTTCCAGTGACGGAAACTGCCTAATGGTTAAAAAAAGTATTTTTTTTTATTTAAAAATGTGTTTCTTCTTACATTTATTTTTATATTTTTGGCTGGACGGGATTTTATTTTCTCTCTCGAAATTAATTTTTGACCAAAATTGAGACAATGTGACCTTATACGTTTTAAAATATAATATTAATAATTACATCATTATTAAATTATACATTGATTTATAGCATAAAGTATAATATTATACAGTTTACAAAGTATTGTTCTGTCTTCAATCAATTCATGCGGTAGATCTCAAGTCGTCAATCCAGAGAGGAACTTATAAATTTTGTTATCCCATCAGAGCCTGACCCCCTTTATATTGATTAAAAAATGATTTTACGCATTTATCCTATTGATCATAGTATGTAAGAATACAAAAATATGTAACTTTTAAACCTATGTTTATATATAGTCAAATTGGGGGATGTATAAGTATTCATACGCTAGTACCGTACATAAAGATTTATAGAAAAGAACTATATACTGGTAATGAAAAAGAATATCGCTTGTATGATAAGGCCTAAAACAGTTACATTTTCTGCAAAAACATAAAATTCTTCAGGATTTACTCGAAAAGACTCATTTTTGTCTTTGTCATTTTAATATTTTTTTTTTTGATTTGGTACATGTTACTTCCACAAACTCTAACGCCTAGAATAAATTGATAAAGTCAATAGTGCTGATACTATCATCTCTTCTCCTATATTAGGCAGAGCTATAATTTTAGTTTTAATTGTTGAATATGAGCATGTTCTTCCTTTTCCTCTTGAAACTGAACAGGTTCCCAAGAATGTTTTGCCATTTCAAGCTTTGATTTATTGTTTTTTAGTTATCTTTTATCATTTACTGGTATTTCTATTGCTATTCTTTTCTTTCATTCTAGTGGGTGAATATTTAAATTTGAGAACACTTGATTGGCAGTGCAGGACCAAGTAAATATATATTATCACTGTTTACTATATTTTCTTTTTCGGGAACCTCGTCTACATCTGAATCTCCATCTGCTTCGAGAGTAAATAAGACCAATGTGTACATGTATCTTATGTCTTATGAATGGCCAGC